TGTGTTTGGATCCAGTGTGATTCTTTGTGAATATCTTAAGAAACCAGCTCTGGTCTTGGGCTCTGTTTCTGGTGGTTCTGGCGGTAAAACATCCACTTCAGTCACTGTCTGTGAGACGTTTATCCATGTCTCTGTTAGAAGATCCTGGAATTTATCACTGACCTCTGACACAGCTGCTGTCACCTCCTCAAAGTATCTCTGAGGATGGATGTTGATCCTGGATGAGTCTGCAGGTTGACCTGGTCCTGACAGTGAGGAAAAATACTGGTTGTGGTCCTCTGTGAGTGAGAGCTTCTGCAGATCAGTGTCTTTCCTCTTCAACTCAGTGATCTCCTGCTCCAGCTTCTCCTGACATTTTTTGACTCGACTCACTTCACGTTCCTGCTGGGATCTGACCTGCTGCTCCACCTCAGAGCGGCGTTTCTCCATGAGACGGATCAGCTGGCTGAAGATCTCCTGGCTGTGCTCCACAGCTTTGCCAGCAGAGCCGTTGATAGCCTCCACCTCCTGTTGGAGCAGCTTCACATCTTCCTCACTGTCCTGGATTCTCTGCTGGATGTTTTTTCGACTCTCCTCCAGATTTTTCTGCCTCTCAGTCTTTTCTGCTGCAGCTGAGACTGTGTCGTGGCCTTTGTGTTGGTCCAAACAGCAGAGAGAACAGATAGACTGTTGATCAGTGCAGCAAAACATCTTCATCACCTTATCATGATGAGAGCAGATGTTCTCCCGGAGTTTCTTGGGGGGCTGCATCAGCTTGTGTTTCTTTAGTGGAGCTACTTCAGGTCCAGCATCAGAGGGATCACCAGGAGCAGCTTGGAGTTCCCTCTTCTTCAGTTCCTCAACTAAACCTGCTAACATGGTGTTTTTCATCAGGATAGGCCTCCAATTGAAGGTCTGTCTGCACTGAGGACAGCTGTAGATCTTCTTCTCATCCTCAGTATCCCAGCGGGATTGAATACAGTTTGCGCAGAAGTTGTATCCACAGGGAACAATCATCGGATCCTTCAGTAAATCCAAACAGATGGAACAAGAGAGAGATTCACGGTCCAGCTGAACTCCTTTCTGCGCCATTTCACACTCACTGTAGACGACTGCCTGGCTGAGTTTCATTTTCTCAGAAGTGAAACTAACTAAAAACTAGCTCTGATCTCAACAACATGTGTGTGTCAGCAGGATCAGCTCAGCACACACTGGTTACACCCATCCTCAAACTGTAGATCTAAAAGGGAGGGGACAAGGAAGTGAAGCTGTGTGAGAGATGAGGGCGGGGGATCCGGTTTTTCTACAATCCAGACAGAGGAGCGGCAACTCTAAAACTCCAACAAGCAGGAGTTATTAAAGCTGCAGCGGTCCTGAAGACTTTTTTGTCCTTTTATCCACATATATTTACATTTACACCATATATAAACATCACTTGAAACACACTTCTCTCTCTCTCTCTTACTTTCAGAGTGCATGCTGGGAGTGTGTGTGCTGCAGAGAGTCCTAAGTGAGAGTGGATGGTGGTGACTTTTTAGTGTTTTCAAACTTTTCTCTGCTTTCTTACTGTGCTTGATGGCTGTAGGTTTATGTGACAGTGATTATGCTAGTGGGCTCAGCATCCCTGGTGGAGATGGTGTCCTTGTGAAGGACGCAGCCTCTCTCCATCCAACACCGTTGGTGCCGGTGGAGGAGGTTCTCCCGGCGGCGGGAGACCATGTGGGGCATGAGAACCTGTGCTACGCCTCCAGGCTAAACCAGAGTGTGGTGGTTTTCCTGAAGGAGGAGAGGTTTGTGGCGGAGCTGATAGCGAGCGGCGTCACGCTGGACGGGATCTACCTGCAGGTCTCACTGTGCCCTCCACTCGGCTCATTGTGTCAGGTGTCCCCCTGTTTATCCCCAACAAGCTGCTGGAGGAGCAGTTGTGCTTTGGGAAGCTGGCGGGTGGGTTTAAGACGGTGGGTTTGGACTGTAAGGATGAGAAACTGAAGCACATGCAGTCCTTCAGGAGGCAGATGTACATGTTCTTCACCTGTCTGTCTCAGACACTGGAGGTCTCCTTCAGAGTCAGACATGAGGAGGGACACTTCATGGTGTACGCTAGCACTGGTAGAATGAAATGCTTTGAGTGTGGTGATGTAGGCTACAAGCAGACTGCGGGTCCTTACTGGGCGGCTGATGCGTGGCCCGAGCCCGTGGCGGACACCGCTGAGGAGGAGCCGGCAGACATCACGTCTCCGAGGGAGGGTGACGCCCCCCATTTGGACATGGCCGGAGCAGAGCAGGCAAAGAGAAAGTCCAGCTGGGGAAGAGGAGGCTGAAACACGCAGGAAAACAGGGATTGATGAAAGGGCAGCAGCTGCAGCAGGTACAGCAGAGGGACAGGGAGGAGCAGAGGAGGTGAATGGTGAGAGTGGAGGAGGCAGTAGGAGAGGACAGACAGCTGGATTTGAACACAGTCAGGCTGCTGCAGACGGAGACTCAGGTGCTGTAGAGGGGGATTAGGATATGGACTATGAGACTGACTCTGACTGTGTCACAGTGGCAGACTCCCAGTCAGGTGGTGAAGATCTGTACATGCTGGAAGACATTAACATGATCCTCGATGAGACCTTTGGTAAGCCTGTGAAAGCGACTGATTAAGTGACTGACTCTAGAGAAAGTTTTTGGCTAGACATGTTGGATGAGGAGAAACGTTTTTGGTTAAGGAAACATGTGACAGGGCTCAGTAAAGTGATGAAAGCGAACAGAAGGAAAGCGCCTAGAGGGCTTAAAATAAGTAGATGAAATGATGATGGTTGTGTTGCACCTGGTGGTCCTTCTCTTACTGTTTCTGTTTCCTGTCTCCATCTCTCTCTCTCTGTCTGGGATGCACGAGGCAGGGTTAGCCTCTTTAAACATTAAAGGGGGAGGAGCCAACAGATGAGGGCAGTCATTTTAGAAATGATGACACCGAAAAAATTGAATATTATTTTTCTTCAGGAAACTCACTGCGATGCAAAAAATGAGACAAACTGGGGGTTGTGGTGGAAGGGGCAGTACGTCCTTTCTCGTGGGACAAATTTCTCTGCTGGTGTGGCCATCCTCTTTTCTCCAGGGTTGAACGTCCACATCCTGTCCACCACAGAGATAGAGCCTGGCAGGGCTGTAGCGGTCAGAGCAGAGATACAGGACATCTTCTGCTTTGTTAATATTTATGCTCTGAACCAGGGCTCACACAGGCTGGACTTTTTCCAGAAATTGAAAGATCAGTGTGATCAGAGTGAATGTGTGGTGATGGGGGACAACTGGAATTGCACAACATATTTCACAATAGACAGAACAGGGGAGGAGCCTCACCTGCAGTCATCAGCTTTATTGTCATGGGTGGTTTCAGAGTCAGGACTGGTGGATGTGTGTAGGCTTAGACATCCTCATGTGAGGCAGTATACCTGGGTAAGGGAAGTCGATGGGATGGGGAGGGCAGCCAGGTTGGACAGGTTCTATGTCAGCCATGGCTACAGCAACAGGTTACTGAGCAGCCATATTCACATATTCACTCAAGCTTAAGGAGCAAGAACTAGGATCATTCCTGCAGGAGAGGGTTAAAGGGGCCCTGGTCAGGTCTCGCTTTACAAATATTAGAGACATGGATGCTACCCCTTCCTTTTTCTTTAATTTGGAGAGGTCTCTGTCTCAGACCAAGCAGATGGTCTGTCTCCACCTTCCTGATGGCTCTTTATCGACTAACCTGGTGAAGATGAAGCAGCATGCTGTGGAGTTTTACAGTGCCCTCTACAGGAGGGAGGACTGCTCGAGAGAGTGGTCAGGACTGAGATCAGCAGTGCTACACCTGCCAGAACATGATGGTGGACAGGGCCTGATGAACACTGCAGCGCGGGTCGCAGCTTTTAGGCTGCAGTTGGCCCAGGGACTTTTGTATGGACATGGACAATGGACATAGCCTGTTTGGTGCTGACGAAGGCCGGTCGACTTGGGTACGACAAACATCTGTTTTTGCTTGAGCTTAGCTCAGTGGACTTATCTTGTTTGACACCTTTTTATCAGTCGATGGTTGAGGCGGCGCAAGTCTTTACTTTTAAGCGGAAGGCTGCAGTAACACCAGGGACGTGGCTGTTTGAGGAACCTCTGTTTTGGAGCAGTTTTATCTCCTCTGGGGTCCTGTCCTCTGACAGCCTCAGGATCAGACTGAGCGAGCCGGCTGTGTGAAATTGGGTCATCTCTTGAAGACCTTCATCCCTCACTTGGCAGAGCAACTCAGCGTCAGGTCACACAGACTGCTGTCCAGGCTGGTGGCAGAGGTCTATGCGTCCCTGCCAGAGGTCTTTAGAGGTTTTGTGAAGGACCAGACTGTTTTGTACCAATGGGATGAGCAGCATGAATATGTTTTTCCTGCCTTGATGGTGTCTCCGGCCAGTGGCGTGAGAAGGAGGACCTCCTGCATTCTCCGAGGACCCAGCAGTTGGGAGACCTGGAATCTCTGGGGGGAAAAGCAGCGTATTACATTGATGTGAAGGTGGCAGGCCTGCGCTCCCTGGTCGAGTTGAAAGTGTTCAGGTGGACTGAGTTTTTGGGCAGGGGCTCTTCCCCAGGAGGTTGTTGGCGGTCCCTGTACAAACCCCCCATTGATAAATGGATGGGCGACCTCCAGTTGAGGCTTGTACATGGGGCCCTATCTACAAACAGGTGTCTGGCACACCTCGATCCTAGCACAGAGGACAGCTGTTCCTACTGCTCTGACACTGAGACATTACACCATCTTTTTGTCCAGTGTCCCAGGCTGGGCCCTTTGTTCAGGCTGCTGCAGGGCTGATTTCAGGAGTTAGGGGAGCACTTTTCTTTCATTTTATACATTTATGGCCCATGCTATTCTGCGCCCAAACCCTCATAAATTACATCTCAGGCTTAGCAAAACTGGTAACTTGAAGACAAGGGAGAACAGGGTGAGGGGTCAGGGGTCACAGGACGTGGTGCAGATGTTCACAGGGATGCTGCCAGCTTGGCTCAGGGTGGATTTCAGGTTTACAGACCAAACAGAGGTTTTTGTGGGGACCTGGGCTGTGAATGGGGTTTTGTGTACAGTCCAGGAGAATTCACTGGTCCTGAGGTTTTGAGCCTTTTCCTTTGTCATCTTGTCTCGGTTGATTATGTCCTGTTTTTCGCTGTTGGAGTTTTGTGTTTGTTTTTGCTAAAGTTTTTGTGACGGGATGGATGGGTAATAAAGGTTTGGTTTCAAAAATAAATAAAAAAATCTCTCTCTCTCTCTTTCTCTCTGACTTCTTGACCCCTGAAGGAATGTTGGTTTCTCTTTCTTTATGTGTTGTTTGGTTTGTGCTTGTTGTTAATTCTTTGTTTACTCTTCTCATAATCTTTTCTCAAATCTGTGTCTCCTCTTTCTCTGCCATCCAATGTAACCAGCTGAGCCATGTGGTCTCTCACAGATGTCAGGTCTAGATGATCCTAAACAAGAGGAATGAGGTGCTCAATTTGGTGTAATCTCAGGGTTGATGACTTTGACTGTCATTGATGTCACCTCTGAAAATAGGAAATGTCTTCGCTGTAGGAGGGAGGGCCGTCTGATGCCTGCTCATTTAGAGGTGAAGCTGGGGGAGACACTGAGGGAGACAGACAGGCTCATGGGTGAGCAGGGAAAGGGGGCTGAAGCTGAGCGGCAGACTGGTGGACAGGTGGATGAGGAAACTGATGCACTGATGGATGTAGAGATGGGGTCTACTTTAAATCCACAGCATGGAGGTGGAGGAGGAGTTTTCTTTTCGTTAACTTTAATTGGACTTTGCAGAACAAGCAAACTGGATTCACCTTTGTGGAAGAAAGCAGTCAACAGCTGCCTCCCCTCACTCTGCCTTCTTTCTTTTACTCTCCTCTCTTTCTTCTTTTGATACCCTGATTTAGGCTTTTTGGGCGGCATGATGTCTAACCCCCAGGTCATTCAGTCTGGGCTCACTGGCGTTACACTTGTGCCATATGCTGTTGGGTGGACCAAACCATTCTGCGCCTCCAAGAGAGGGCCCCCAGAATGTCCAATATGTTTGGAGGAATGTGACATAGATTTTAGTCTCTCAGTTGATGTTATCAATATATTTGAAATAAATTGTGACACCAATTAATTGAGGGCCCAATTCATTCGAAATAAAACATCACAAAAAAAATCAGGATTTTCATGGGCCCCTCTCCTTACACAGAAAAAACTGACCTTTTGGTGCAGTGAACTCTATTAAACAAACTGTCGTAATTTCTACCTTGTATTTTTAAGATTCAGTAAGAACTAGAGTTTTCTAAGTAAAATGACGTTTTTTTTTAACGTAATACATGAATTGTGATGGAAGAGTAAGTTTTACTTAGGTTTCCTTATACTATTTAAATGTTTAATAGTTGTATGTACTGTACACAAACCTACAAACACGACATGAACTTTACTCTGAAAGTGTACAGTTCAGCTTCAATTATCCAAAGTCTGTGAATGTTTGCTGGATTTTTTGGAACCTGTTTGAGTCTGAAGTAATTATAAATCATACTGGAGAGGTAGTCGGTGGATGGATACTGTTGCTTTGTTGTGCACTTGCCCTGTCAGACTCTAAATTTGATTGGTTTTTAGGCAGTTAACCAAGCATTGATCAACCTGATTTACCAGATTTAATTTCCTTGATGTAGAAATGATGGCTAAAAAGAAAAATTATAACGCTGTATTAACCCCAACAAATTCAAAGTAATCAAAACTTTAACCTGCTGCAGAGGTTTGAACATCTCTTCTTAAAAAGAGGAGGAGCTGAATAAATAAAGAGAAGCTGTGGAGCAAAGCCACATGTCAAAGAAAAAACAGTTTTATAAATTCCAGCTCTCTGAGGCTCATGTTTCTGTGGATGCTGTCAGTCATAATACAGATGGACTTATGGAGGATTTTGTTTTAAGGTGTGGATCTTGTCGAGGATTTAGACCCCCAAGTCTCTACCTGAAGCTTCATTACTTGAGCTGGCTTCTGAAAGGATCATTGATTTGCTCATGCAGTCCACTGACACTGACCTGAAGCCTCTGATCACTGCGGGGGATCAGCTGGGCTCATCATTTATCTCAGGGCAGACTGCTGGCTCTGCACTCATTTCTCCTCTCTGAACAAACTGCTCCACCTTTTCAGATATATTGTACAGCGAAAAAGGAAAGTCAAAGAGGGACTGTGGCCTGAAGAAATGATGCAGTCGACCTCTCATTTCATCCTGGCTACAAGTCAAGGTTGGTGATACTCCAGATTTCAGTTATCAACAATCTGACAAAATGACCTAAAAGTAAAAATAACTAATCCCCACTTCTTAAAGTAACTGCCCAGCTTTTTGTAACCAAGATATACTTTTAGTGTAACTAGACTATCCAAATATACCAGTCCAGTTTCAGCACACTCACACAAACGTGTAGTAGTCTACAGGCAGTTAGCACAGGGAACCAAAGCCATCACTTAACGAGTCTAACCCTGTATTTAATCTAAACACAACAACAAGAGGAGTAGATTTAATGGTCTAATGAGAGCAGGGGCCTGTTCTACGAAGCAGGATTACTGCTTAGCGAGGTAACTTCGAGGGTAAGTTTGGGGTTTCCTGTTCTACGACGCGGGTTCACTTCTTAGCGAGGTGAATCTCTATAGCAACATACGCTGAACGGCTAACCTGCTTCGGCGCAGGTTAAGTTCCAGATTGAACTCACAGAGTATAAAAACCCCGCCCACTGACCAATGAGCTCTCTCGAAAAATGGCTTCTCCGTTCTTGGAGGATCCTGTAGACCTCAGTGCTTGCATTGTCTGAGGAGCACTCCGGCGCGAGAGAGATTTCAGGGACCGCACAGACCCACTTACTTTTCCGGATGACCACCTTTATGATAGGTTCATATGGCCTACATATCACACAGATATGTAAACACGATAGGAATGAACAAATGAATGAATTCATCTTGGAAATGAATTAAACATGTCTGGTGCATGTTACAAGCACATGTTGAACAGTTCTATTTCAGGGTGATAATGGTATCAAAGATTTTTAGCGCACTATATTTACGCATTGAGACTGTCTGAAATTTTCTGCCAGCATCCCTTCCGTGCTTTTGCAGCGGCGACGGTGTTGCTTTTGAGGTTTATGATAGATTTGAATTCTTCATACTTTCTCATGATCGTTTCCTGCTCCTTGTTTGTAAAGTCCGCGGTCTTTCGCTCTCTGGCCTGCTCTGACGTTCCAGACTGGTCCATGTTTGCGATTGGTCAGATGCGGCAGGCTCCGCCTTACATGCGTGCACGCGCTCATAGCAAAGCTGGATCCACTTACGAGGTTGATAACCAGCGTCGTAAGACCGTTTAACGAGACCACTGGCTACCGCGCCAAATTGAGCGAGGTAGCTCCAAGGCTTTCTCGCTAGGTTGAACCTGCTTCGTAGAATAGGCCCCGGGTCTCTGTGCTGGAAAACAAAAATCACACACAGAACTGTGGCATTTGGTCTCTGGCACTTTGGCGATGCTTCTTTACTTCATTGTCCTTCAAAGACTATCTGAGTGATATAAAACACTGTCTGAAGTTCAAGGTGCAAAGAGGATCAGGGCAGGTTAGACTATATTAAGGGGCACACAAGTCGGCAACAGAGCACAAAGAGGTTAGATAGAGTCCCATAATTATTTATAGGTGTGTTAAGAATGAAGTGACCCTGCAGACAGGTGTGTTACTATTTACACAGCAGACTACACACTAGGACTGGGCGATTTAACAAAAAAAAAAAAAGATCACAATGTATTTTGTCATATCATCTGATCTCGATTATTATCACAATTATTTTTGTACTTTTTTAAGCTGCCAGTTTTAAAGTATCTGTACTAAAAACTAAAGAAACTAGAGATTATTTCAACATTTTATTAACATACCCAGTAAATAACAAAGCTTGAATAAAGTAAACATTGAAAAATATAAAAAACACTTTAACTCAACAGTACAACAAATGTAGATAAATACTAAATCATACAATGAACTAGTTTACAGTCCTGAGTGTTTTTGCAGGTATACAAGACCCAAAATAAACAAATCCCCCCCTCAGAGATAATGAAGACACCTTAAAATGTAAACATTAGAGGATGCAAACGTAGATAAGATGATTGATTGCTTTGGTCTGGTGGCTGCACTGCTAGTTGTGGCTAAACTGCTAATGCTACTTGTGCTGTCGGCAGTGGCAGGCTGTACAGACTCCGCTTGCATTTTCATGCTTTCTTCATAATCACTCGGGAAGTACTTTTTCAAATTAATTAAGCAGATCTGTTGTGTTGCCAGTTTTTGAGGACTTCGAGCAATTATGCCGACATACCTTGCACATCGGCATAATTGCTCGAAGTCACTTTGGAGATACCTGAACCACCGCCACACAACCGACGTTATATAACTTTTCTTCTCAACAATGGCAACTTCTGAGGATGACTCAAAGTCATGGCTGACATCTGTTTTGCTGCCCTCAGCTCCACGTTTAGCTCCATGTTCGGTCATTTTGTTTACTCATCCTGTTTACTTCTGTAGTAACTTACAGAAGTGAGCAGGAAAAGCTTGACTGATTGGCTGTTGTCACACACATTTCCGCTATGTTTGATTGGGTAAATATGCTCACAGCAGATCACCGTGATCGAACTGAAATTTATCACACCCAGTCCTACTACACACCCTTTCTACTTTGACTGACTGGAGTCTCTCTCTTACAGCTGTAGCCCAACTGTACAGAAAACACATACAGGTCATGGCATGGATTCATGTCAAATCTGAAACAATTTCTGTCTCTCTTTCCTAAAGGTATCAGGAAGTTTCTAAATCAATAGATGTGTGAACATTTACATAGACGATCTTAGCTTCTTGATTTCATTTATCAATTAAGACTCAGGGCATGCTGACAGTATCAGAGAGGATCTGATGAGGGCGCCATCACAGCCGGTGGGTGATAATCTCAAAGAAGAGGTGATAATAAGCTCAAAAGGAAGCATGCATTACAATAGCTATTTCCAGGTGGTATGTGTGTTTCTCTCAGGTTCTTTGGTTTCTTACCTGCAGCGGATTGGTCTTATCTTTGCCAGAAAATCACTTACACTGAACGACAGGAATATGATCTGTATTCAGTCTGCTTCTGCTGCAGCTTGTAAAACACATGGAAAATATTTTCTTATTTCCTCCACCCCGATTTAATGGCCTGCACCAAATTTGAAAACCATGTCAATGGAACGGCCAAATGTGAGCTGAGGATTGCTTTTTACATCATGTTTGTGAAATCATTTCACTTACAGTGGAGTTTACTGTGTGAACATTACAGACCCAGCTTCCACATCATTTCCCACCAAATGTCTGTTCAGGAGATGACGATCAGGAGACTTTTTTTGTTATTTCCTCTCTTGCTTCAATCCTCAGAGCCACTCTGAGTCCTTTTCAGCTATCATTCAGCTGCTGGCCTTGCAAGGACCTGAAAGTGTCCTTAGATAAAGTCTAAAAACAGGACACAAAGATGCCAAAGAGGGTGTATCCTGTTACAGCTGCTGACTGGACTGCTTTAGAGTTTTGAGCTCTCGGAAAGGTGGAAAAATTCAACCAGGGAGAAGCTTTATGTCCTCTTTAGCTCCATCCATCTTTTGTTCTTGTCTAAATCGGGACAAAACATCCATGCACTGACATAATCGCTGTTTGCTCTCCTGCAGGCAAAACACCATCTCTGGACAGGTTCTGCCAATTTGAAGTTCTCCACACCACATCAGCTGACTTTATCAGCTCTGTGCATGTTTCCACACCATATAACAGGAACTCTGATCAGACGGTGATAAAATGGTAATGCTTAACCTTAACCTCACCACCTCTAATGAATAATCAATAATAAAGCAGCCTGAACAACAATTTAAACCTCTCTGAACAAATAGACTGGAATGATGTATGGGGAATAAAACTGTCCTTGTGGGAGCGAATAATGGAGCCAATAATAGACATGTTTGTGAACCAACAAAAGAAGTATTAAGCTCATGACAAATACAGTCAAATGTTTTTAGCAGCTAAAGGGACAAAAAGAGATGTTCTTTGAGTGCGAGTGTGGGTGTCTAAAGCAATTCTGAGTGTTTTATTGAGTATCTGTTGTTGAAAATGGATGCCCAAGCACCCACTGGTCAGTAAAAGACATAAAAAAATACAGCAATCCCTAACCTCCGATTATAGGCCATTTACAGGCAAACTTAAGTCAAAGTGGGTGCAGAAATATTGGATATTGCAGAAAATTTAAATGCTGATTTTCTGTTTTCATTAGCTTGTTTTTGAACTGAGGAGGATGTAAATGTTTTTTTAATCAAATTTTTAACCTAGTTTTGGAGTCCAGGCAAACTGGATAGGACTTAAATTTACTCCAAAAGCCCTTTGCTAAAGCTTGTCTAGCTGCTGAACAGAGCATCGTACAATAGTGTTCACATAACTAACTACCCACTTTGGAAGGGTCAATCAAGGGACAATCACAGTCTCCTTGAAGACTGAAATGAGTCATGCCATGAGTTCATAGTCGTCCTTAAAGGCAGGGTAGGCAGTGTTGTTCAGAGACACTTTTTATCATAGTGGAAGAAATGGTCCTTCCACCCTGAAAGTAGTCAATTCATTATGTATTCAGAAAGAGACACGAAAAGAATCTGAGATCTGTGGCAGCCGCAGGACTGTTAAAACTTTGACAAATCATAGCATTCGGTCTGAATGTAAAGAACCAATCAGAGTCCTTCACCCCGCGCCCGCTCAGCTCCCCTCTGCCCCCCATCCCACCCCCCCACCCACGGGCACACACATTGCTTCGCCGTTGCCTCAGGTAGCAAGCACGCTCCTCTGTCGAAATACCTTGTTAGCTGGAGAATATGTGACCATTTTACAATAGCAGAGAAACAGCAGCCTAAAATACCAGTTCCAGCTGTACCCGTTACAGAGAAAGACGGAGGCAGAAAGGGACAAAGGAGGCTCTGGATAAAGCCAGAGGACAAACCAGAGTCAACATCTGGGCAGCCTATGAGTGTTGGAGACAACAGAGCGGTTGCTTTGTTTCTGTTGGAAGGGTAATTATTTGCTTTGCTTTGGTGGATTTTTTTATTTCCCTCCAAAAATGTAGTGTTCACCAGCTTAGCTACTTTTGTAGCTTGTATTAGCCCAATGCTAACGTTAGTTTTCTCTGCTTGCAGGTGGTTGTAGTGGCCAGAGTACAGGTGCCGCTGTATTAAAGAGGTTGAAGGATGTGACATTCTGGTTATATTGCACACCTACAGTCGCCAGTGTCTGCATGGTAGTCCTACAGTTGCACCAATGCTATTTCCTTTCATGTTGACTGGGCCCCATTTCTAGTTATCTAAAATATTGATCTTTATTATATCTGCATTTAATTGGAAGCACCATTGTTTTAAAAAAGCCTGCATTGTGGTGTTGTTGACTGATGAAGCAGCTTGGAAAGTTTACAGAAGTACAACAGATATTTGAGACAGAGTAATATCTTCAAACCACCCTCTCCCCCTCTTCGTTTCAGGTACTGCAAATTGTATAACAGAAAGTCCAGAGGAAGGAGTTTGTACACCATAAAGGCCCCACAAGATGTACATCTGACCAAGAGGACTTATTGTTTGGATATTATTTTTTCAATAAATTTACGTTGTATTTTATCTTATGTGTCATCTTTTATGCACCATTACTACTGCTGACTCTGTTGTAAGAAAAGTTGTTCAAGTCTTTGCTGATGTGATTGGTAATGATAATGATAATTTACTAGTCTAGTAGTAAATTGCCAGGAAGTCAGAGCAAGCGCGGGCGTCTGTTTGTGGAGCAGCAAGCGAGGGGAGAGGAGGAGCTGAGGGGGAAACTGGTGGGGAAGGGGTAGTGTTTACATTCAAGATTTCTCCCAAAAACTGACACTTCTGAGATCTTGCTTACCCCAGCTTTAATGCTGGTTGTAATATGCCATAAATCAGAGGAGAGATGAATAAGATCAGCAGCTGCTAGTGATCTAGCTGTAGCAGCACTATGAGAGATGATTAAACTCTTTTTAAAAACAGACATTCAAAAGCTTATCAAGGAGGCACATCATCATTACAATCCGTGTTATTGACTGTGTAACCACATTTCACAGAGCAATGCACAGCTACAAGATAAAAAAGAGTCCCTGCTGTCTTAATTTGCATTTGATTGAGGGGGCGTGTCTTTAAATAGTGTATAAAGTGCAAAAAAAAAAACAATTTGAGTTGATCTTTTTATTTTGAAGTTTGTGCTGGTTATTTTCCTGCTCTGCTCCCAAACAGCTCTCTTGTCTGCATCGTGTCAGGGTGGTTTTGGAGGCTGGAGGCGGCTGAGGAGCAGCGGCGGGTGTAAATGGAGCTCTAATGTGTTAAAGCGAGCGAGTTGCTGTGTTCGAGGAAAACAGGCCACTTACTTTGTGTGAAAAGCTATCGCCAGTGATTAATAACAAGACCCATGGTTCTCGTCTGACGCTGCGCTGAGTCTTTTCATCCGGCTGCTGTTATTTGAAAGCTTGTGAATCATTTGAGGTCATCAGTGATTTTGCTGTCAATAAACCTGGGCGTTGAGTTACTATACATGTATAAGGTTAAGCCATTCTGAGCATAAATATTGTCTATGAAGCTCTAACTTAATGAATCCGCTGTAAGCTGTCAAACATGTTTTGTTTTTCTTTTTACTAAAAATCTATAATCTATATAGAATTACAGGACACACTCATTTGTTTATGCTATAACATATAAATCTATATTTAACAAAATAAAGGAGTTAAGAAGATGCCTATCTATAAAAAAATTACTTTACTACTGCATCTTAAACCAACTCCAGACCATCAAAGATGCTTTATTCTGGTTGTGGTATTGAGAAGAAAGGGAGGCTTCTTTGTATCATTAATAATTTACAAACCCAGAGCAACAGAGAGCAGCAGAGGAATCAGTCAGGACTAAAACGAAGGGATCTAATTACTTTGAATTATCAATGGATAAACTTAATAAACATTGCACTCAGGGTGTTGTAGAAACTAAAGGGAAAAACATCAAATTTCTGATTTCATGGACTTTATTAGATTAATTTCACCTCCTCTAAACTAGCCAAAGTAGGGCAATTAAAAACTAATGGATTTTTTTAACAGCTTCAACTTCAACTTTATTGTCCCCAAAGGAAAACTACCAACTGAAACCATAAATGAACATGAAGATGGAGACACATTGCTCATACAGGCTTCATTTACGAATAAAAAAGCAAAATAAATATGCTTTTATTCCTTCAATACAACACAAGAACTGTATTGATGCCCAAAGGGAAACTCATTTGTCTGGAATCTCATGTCATCTAATGTTATTATAAGAAATAAAGAGTCTGATGGCTGTGGGTACAGAAAATCTTCTTAATCTCTCCGTCCTGCAGCAAAGTGAGAGGAGCTGTCCACCACCATTGTTATTTTTATTTTTTGGTCCATCAAGGTGTTATGATCCATGTTCTATAGAATAATATCCACCTTCCTCAGTGTACAACTCTCCACCACATCCTCCTGCGAGTCCATCTTGATTGTAACCGCAGAGCCAGCTTTTTTCACCATGTGGAGTCTGTGTCCTAGTGATTGTTTCATGGAGAACATCACACGGAACTTGAGCTGTTGCTGAATATGACAGATATATAATACATATGATGGAATTGCCAGCAGTATTATGGAAGGCGAGGATGGTGGAAGTGGACCTAGACTGGTTCTGTTGTGCAACTTCTTCATGCATTGCTGGTCTCTTATAAAAATAAACTTTTTTGACTCCAATAGAACTTTTTCCTTTTCTTTAATGCATTAAAAAAACCTGTAAACCTTCCAAACTCCACTGCAGTGAAAGGAACTGTGCTCCAAAATGAGCAATGAAAATATCAAACTGAAGACAGTCCATCTGAGCGTTTGTTTAAAGGGAAATCATTATTCAGCACACACAGCGAAACGCTCCTGAAAAACTGATGTGTTTTAATAAAACAATCTGTCGCCTGCAGAATTGATCACTGAAACCTTCTTCCTTTGTTTGGTTTGTCATTAAAGTGTACAGCAGCTGTCCCACGGCTGCCTGGTGTTCAATCAAACCTGAGGTATCCAAATGTCAATTTCGCAGCAAAATGAAACTCATGCTGTCCAAAAAATTGAGCTGCTAAAAAAAACAATAAAGCTGGCAGAGATGAATGTGCAGGTTCCCCCTCGATGATTCATACTTGTGTTTTTTAACTCCGCACGAACAACAAAACATTATTTATTCTCTCTATGTTTGATTTTCGGGGAGTTGTTTCATGCTCGCACACATACTGCAACTCGTTCTCATTCCCAACTTGTCAAATATTGACGAACGATCAGGAGGAGTAAAATTATCACAAATCTAAACATGTGTGTAAGAATTGGTTCTTTAGTTGACTGCTCAAAGACCACCAGAGAAATCTGCAGGTCTCAGATAAATCAAGTAGTACAGCGCTGGACTCGGGATGACAGAGCTCCTAGGATCTTCATCACAACATGTGCCCATTTCCGGGTATAATTCACATTATCTTAATACTTGGACTTTATACGCAACCAGGTATCATTGGCCACTTATCTCCGAACCGAACAGGCCAACCACTGTGCACACAGTCTTACTAAAATGTGCTATGAAATATGTGTGTGTGTTGTTGACCTTGAGGCATGTATCTACTGTAGCAAACCTGTCCAACAGATCCAGTGATAGAAAAGGTGTTTTACAATTTACCAGGTAATCCATCCTCCTCACTCACTTGACCCGAGGCGAGCGCCTTTTTATTCCAGTTATTCCAGTAATTGAGGGAAAAGGTATCATATAATTTGAGGCACCCACACACCAACTCGATCCGTTTGTCCTCCATTTTAGATACCAGTGAAGAACCATCGAGCAAATATCCGCCAAAGGTGAGACATTTTCAGCTCCTGCCCAATCCGCATTATTCGCGCCGCAAGAGTAGTACAAACATCTAATCACGTCTTTGCATTGACTTAACATGTAATTCATTTGCCTGAAGGATTTTACTCGCGCTTGGTGTGTGTGGAGACAGTAAGGGATGCATACATGGAACCCCTCATGTCTATTTGTGGTAGCTACAAACTCATCCAATGAGGAATCGGAAGTGAGTTGATGCACGTCATGGACGGAGTTGCTCTTAAAACATTTGTCAAACTTACATTTGATCACAAATACATTTCTATGTATTAAATAAGCATAATTCAATATTAATAAAATTAATGAAACAGATTAAGGCATTTTAGCCACAAAGCAAACCATAGAATGGAACAATATTTGTATTATAATTTACACAATGCTGTTCATACATTAAAAGATTTATGTAATTCTATTTATTCAGATAAACCTAATAAATCAATACCATCTTTTAAAACAGTTTTGATTAGATGACAAAGTATGATCCTATAAAATAATTTCTGCCTAATTTGTCTTCATGTATTATACTGGTAGTTTTATCTCATCCCTTTAAGGGTTTTTCTTTTTCCTTTTTTTAATTCAGATGTGTGTATTCATACTGCTACAACAATTTTGTCCAGCAGCATGCACACCTGTACGTACACACATACACCCATACAAAACTTTAGGCCCTTTCTCATACACTTTAGTTTGACCGACAATCACCCAGATGTCTAGCAGTTGCACAGCTGCCAAGCGTCACGCTTTGAGTGTGACAGTCATGCAATTTGACCCATTCTCACACCACATGCCACACTCAATATTTGTGGCCACACTCATGCTTATATTTCCCCATTCAATACTCTGTATTTATTTTTTTCATGATAATAAACTTGGCTTGTAGTTCGAGTAACTCTGATTGACTGACCGAGATAACCAATCCCAGACCAACCATTAGTCCTTTGTGCCTAAATCGAACCAATCACGGATGGCACCACACAATATAAACCAATCAGAAGCAACTTAAGGTGGGTCTTTGCTTCTCTAACTATCTTCTCCCCAGCTAAATGATGGAGAGTTGGTTGAAATGCAATATTGACCAACAAATGTATTTTGTCAAAATTCTTGTTACAATTTTCATTTCTAATTTCTGGTTAATTAAGACTAGCATTAGGAGGCCACAGTGCAGGAAGAGCAGCTGGCATGGAGGTGAGGACATCGGTCTTAAGGTATAAATCAACGTTAAAAAAGCCCAATGTTTTTTTAGCACATCATAACGCTTAAGTAACACTCTTGCATTTTCTGAATCCTGCAGTTGTGGATGAGATCAGATTTGTCCTCAAACGTAAGCATTGACTTAAAGGAAAGAGAGGGACTCAGACATATTTATTGTTAATTAAAACACTTAAACAGTTTAAATGTTTATGTATGTTTTTTTTAAAACCCTTCCTGATAATTTATTTACACTGCATAAAATAGAATAAAAAAAGTGTATCAAAAGGTCTCACACAGCCATTCCAGGTTCATGAAGTCAGTAGTATGAAGGAATCCAGGTGAGTTAACACGCTTCAAACACTGATCTGAAACTTACCAGGTCCAAAATGTCTGCTTTTCATGCATCCAGTCGATATTTTCTGTCGCTGTGAAAAAACAAAACAAGAGAAAACAAAACATGTAATTGTTATTTGTTTGAATGAAAATAACCAGCAAAGACTTTAATTTGAACATTTTCTCTCTTAAAATCAGTACTTTTATGTCGGAAGGAACCCTTTGAGTCTTTTCCCCCAGATGTGAGTTCCTACAAAAACCCAAATAATACTTGATAACACATTTCTGAAGGGTTAGATCATTAAAAAAACCACAGAGCACTTGCTTTTCCCAACAGCACAGTTAAAAACCCCATGGTACCTTTGTGTGGGTGGTTGTGTTTATTGAGCTTGTTGAGCCTCTGCCCTTAAACTCACCCTGAAGAAACTTAAAAACGCTCTTTTAAAAACTCTGATCGGCCTCATTTGCAAGAAAAAAACGCTTACTTTCAAAAGATTGAAAAAAGTATTATAATTTAAAGGTGAAAACTGCTGCAGTGGAGAGAGTCTTAGCTGCATTTCAGAGCTGTTGTATCATATTTTGGCCTCAGAAAGTTGAGTCACATAGAGAACTTTAAATACGTTGTGTGGATGTATAAAAAGATCTTTTCTCCCTCTTACAGAAAAATAACTCCCTGGTTGTCATGCATACTGTATCTCTTGCATCATTGTTGGTAAAATGTTTGTTTTTGGCAATAAAAAAGTCTTACTTCAGCACTGTCTATTTGAAGCTCATGAGAGAATAAGAAAATGTCTGCATTCGTCGGTTTATTAATAAGAGCAGCAGGCAGCAGAGTGCAGCATGTTCTGTATAAAGATAAGACAATCACAGAAGGCAATAAGGAAGAAAACACCATGAAATTCTAATAAAAGGAACAAGCGAGGGGAGACGGTGGTTTCAGATCTGTGTCGGATACAATAAGGTCATATTACGTTTAAATCTGCCCCTGTCATTCTGCAGGAAAAGGTGCGACAACCCAATCAAATTATCCTTAACAAGGAAATGACAGGGGGCTGCCGGGCTAATGGAGGGGGGTGAATTCATCCTCAGAGATTTTGATGGAGTTAAGAACAGAACAGAAGAGAGAGCTAATCAGATCTCTTTCTTAGGCATATTTCATCAAGGTGGCCACATGAGCTGGAGTTTACGGAGGGAAAGGAATTATCTGAGAGGAAAAGGACTGGAACATTTCAAGGAGGATGTCGTCAATCAGTCATTTGAAATCTTTTCATTTATAGCTCATATAAAAAGGAAATGCAGCCATGTGCATGTGAATTCTTAGTTAAGCTAATTTCTGCCCTAAAGGGACAGTTTGGATTTATTAAATTTGCATTGTTGTTATTGCACTATTTCTGGATGCATCACACATCAGATGTGCTCCTCCACCTGAATTGTGCTGATAAGCTAATCAGACTATGGAATATAAGTCTTTGATCTATCCTGATTTTTGATATTTTTGCATCCAGTTCTGCACAATGTTTAAGCTCCTAAGAGCAACTAAGAGACAATAGTCTCATAGTTCACTGATAAGAAAGGTTCTTGCTTCAGAGTCTCAAATAACAGACTAAGCCTCATCTGCAGAAAACTATAGCCCAGCTTGTGTGTTGGTTCTCCCAGCAGTTTTTCAATAAAGGGGTAAAACTAACTGGAATCCACTGAGAAAATACACCTACTAAAGACATGTAACTTTAACAACTTCACTTCAAGTATTAAAATATCCCTTTAAATGTACTTTGCTTACGTTCTGACTGAGCACAAGTTTTTATCTCGGTAAATGACTGCTTATGTGCTCACTTTGGTTCAAAGGACTATAAAAACCTGGCAGTAGCAGCAAAGATCTCATTAGTTTTTAACCATGGCCTAATTTGACTTCAAGCCCACCAGGGCTGAGGTGAGCACTGATGTGACACCATCACCTGCTGCTGTGTGACTTATTCATTTTAACTCCAGCATGCATGTGTGCCTCTGTGCAGCAGGTCAGAGACTGCTGGCTCGAGACTCTTGTCTCACCCACTTAAATAATTAAGGTTACGGGTGATGTTTCTTCCTTTGTGATCTCCCACTTATTCTCTTCCTCCCTCTCTGCCCTGCAACCGTTGAAGTTGTTTAGGTGGTTGTGTTCAAATTAAATACTTGTTTTTTTAATGTAAATATGATTGTTTTCTCAAAACCTTGACCCCAGAAACCTGTGTATCACTCAAAGGAATCCCCTGACGAGGCAAAAAAAGTATAGAAAACATATATCTGGACTCCTGTGTCTCTCTCTGCAAACAGTTAACATTGCACCGGCATTGTAACTGCTCTTAAGAAACTATAAATTCAATTTTACAAGCATTTTAAATAAGTTTAATATCACTCAGATGGTAGACTGTCAGTCAACAGTTAAAAGAGGGGGACCCCAAACAGATCCTTGAAGTACATCGCTGGTCTCAGAACAAGTAAGTCCCAAAAACGACTGCCTCTTGCTCATCAGGCAGAGAATCCTTGTAAACGTGTAAACTCAACTGTTATGTGAAATATGTAAAAGCAAGGAGTGGTCCATGGTGTTAAAGGCCTCAGAAAGGTCAACCTAGATGGTGGTACCATGTTTTTAGCGGAACTTTGGAAATAGTCTTTCCAAATGAAAATGTTCTCTTGTCGCAGATTTGCACTTGTTGGTCACTGTGGTTGCACCCAAGCTAATAAACAATACCAACACAGGTCAGGGAAAAGCAGGGAGGAGGATGTAGAGGATGTGAACCACACTGATTTCAGAGGATTAAAGAGATTATTGCTGTAAATGTTTCATGAGGAAGGAAATGTTTTCAGCATGCCGGTCAGACTTCAGGAATTGCAGTACCATGACCTGTCAAGGTGATTTGAAAGTGGTTCCTGGCTAGAAAGTAATGCAACGTGAATTCTAATAACTAATGGCTACAACAACAAATACAAGAAAAGATATGTCCTCTCATTTAGAGTCCAAATAACAGGTCTAATTACAAGGTGAACCTTGAGAAGCCTGGAGAAACATGTTTGCGTAAAGATTATTCAAAAACAGCTCCTGGTGTGGTAATTAGCTGATTTTCCCTTCATCAGCACACAGGAAGGTCTTTCTGTGAATCCTCTGCACAAAGCTGCTCTTTCATTCCTCCCTCCTGATTACATTTTAATAGATTCCTGGTGTTAAAAGTTGTGAGTGTAAATTATGGATGTTCTTTTATCCTCTAGCCCTCAGCTCACTGACGGATGCAGCGCTCCACTACAGCCCAGAGTAAACGTATTTCTTTGGTCACACTGGGAGTCCGAGAGGAAAAGCAGAAGGCTTTTGAAAGTGAAGCGCAAAAAGGATTCCCAAACAGGCTTCACAAACAAACCTCTCCCCTCCAGACCTGATCCTCCGCCCCGCTGTGAACCTGGTTAGGATGAAGACGTTACCGGGCCGGCTGTGAACCTGTGATAGACGCTCGACTAATTTCTCATTTCAGCTCCAGCTGTGTGACCAACAGAGGCAGAAAGAAAAACAAGGTTTCCTCCAAACACTGAGGTTACTACTAATGGAACACTTTGAGCTTATTGGAGGAGTCTGAGTCTCACCTCCGCTCGGGTTCATGACCTGTGGATGTTTGGCTCTCGCTGCTCTGGTGGCTTGTCAGCGGAGAGGATTGAGGGGTGAGGTGGGGGGAGGGTTAATCCGGATTCTTCTTCTGCGGATCTTACACAACACAGGTGGTGAAATCTGTTGGGATGAGGCAGTGAAATAAATTTCTTCAATCCTGTTAATACTTCCTTTGATGAGACTTAATTTATGTCCAAACCTAAAAAAAGGGTATTCAGAGTTTAGAGTAATGTGGAGAATGCTGCCATATAAAGCATATTACTGTTGTGTTTACATTATCAGCTCTGAAAATCAAACAGTACAATGAGGTTATTTACAGTAAAATCCACTCACTTTGTGAGGCCGGCAAATTTCAGGTATTAAGCTCCCTGCAACATCCAGAGATTTTTTGTATCCCACAGAGATGATCAGAGTATTTCCAGACTGTCCTTCAAAAACTGTCTTGATTCACTTGTAGATTTTACTTTTTGCAGCCTGATGTTAAACATCAACTAATTTTATTCATTTCAAGCATTACCTTCTACTAATATCACTTATATCTGCAGAAAAACAAGATCTAGGCTTTTAAACATATGATGGAATAAAAACCTTGAAATGGTCAATGTCAGTCTTACAATCATGGTTATTTTAAAGCTATGGCTATAACTTCTATTGTCCCCTAGAGGATTTCTGCGTTGTTACAACAATATGGCAAGCACCTCAATATGACGTACAGCCTAGTGTAACCCATACACGGAGTAACACTAATGACTCACTGCATACCGTTTGTCTCAGTACATGGACTGTTACTGTCCACACAACATATAGGCTTCTAAAGTTATTCGTCACAGCACACAGACTCCCTGCAGTAAGTTACACACAGCAACACTACTACACACCAATTAACTTACTGCTCGTTAGGCAAACGTCACACAATGTGGCGAACACCAGGTTGCTAACAATGTATGACATTCATATCACCATTTCCAAGAAAATAATAAAGTACTCGGTCCAGTACATGTAACAGCAACACATCCTGCTGGTAATGAACAGAGTCACTTACTTATCCAGCAATATCAAGGCAACATTGATGTCAGACCTCAGTCCAATCTCCTCCTCTAGGGCTCTCCATCGAGGAAAAGCGACGCCGATGTAAATCTGCGTTTGTCTTCTCCGTTTGTCACTTTTTTCGCCAACAGACCTTCTCCTGAACAGGAAGGCTTTTTCTTTCTAGTAGGATCCACTTCTTAACCTCTTAGTGGCTTCTTCGGGTTCTCCGCCCTGTTGCTTCTAGCAGCGCTCTCCTCCCCTCTCCCTTATCGTTGTCAGGTAAAACAGAGTAGAACGCATTATCTCCTACGCGCCAGTGCGGGAATGTCGCCCCCCCGACACCAAATGCAAAAAAAAACAAATACAGAAATTACTGCGAGGTGTTAGAGGAGCAGGACGGCTTAATCAGCGTTGTATCATCTTCTCTTGTAGTAGCTTGAGTTAAAGGATAAACATTTAAGAGGTCAGAGATGTACTGTGGTGGTGATCTGTTTAAAGATTAAAAAAAAAACAATAACATTTTAAAATGAATTCGAAAATAAAAGCTAATGGAGGGACGCCAGAATTGGGGTGATATGCTATTGATGCATATTTATGCTTTTTGCAGCAACGTCTTTCAACAATAAGCATTTGCATTTATTTTAGACTCTTAAAATTTGCTTTGTCTCTAGATTTGCAGCACGTCTCTTCACGTATGGTCTTGTTAGCTATTCATCTACAGATGAACCTTGAAAACTCCAGTTTATTTACATCTGTTTGTGACTAACCCTTCAATGTTTTGATTAACCTTGTACTCATTAAAGTACTTTTTGACACTTGGAAAGAGCTTCACGACAGACTCAGACAAAGCAAATAATTATCTTTGGCACATCCTCTGCTGTGTTTTCACTGATTACTCCCCCTCATGCAACAACAGAACAACTTTAAACTTAAGTGGGTCATCAGTTTGTGATGCAACCCGAACTTTATCATCACTTTTCAGCCCTCAGACTGACGGGAAACCTGTGTGAGGCTGTGAGACATCTCTTGGGATGATGCTAACAGGATTATCTGAATGTCTTTATTCATTAATTAGTCACAATGAGATACAAGAAAAGTTTTGTTTGTTTGTTTGATTTTGTACATGAAGCAAAAGGTTAGTTTAATGCAGTAGTCAGGGTTCAATCCCAGACAAAACTGCAAGCAACAAAGAAGAAAACCTTTGAGGCTGAAAATAAGCAACTTGTACAGCCCTAACAGGCCCTGTCTGCCACTCAAAATAATCTGTTTCAAGAAAAGGTGAGTCATGTTCCTGCAGATACATGAAAAAAAGGCAAACTGTACATCCACAGTGAAAATCTCTCCACATGTAAGAGTCTGCAAGCAGCTATTCTCACACTGATACAAAGCAGCATATGGCATGTCGTCTCCAGTTTGTCCTTTGAGTAGGAAGCTGCCACATGACCTTGGCTGTAAGAAAAGCTTGTTGACATCAGCCCCTGAAATGTTTTTATCACACATGACGTCTTGAGCACAGCCAGAGGGGCAGCGGTGAAGGTTGCTCTCTGTTAAATGCAGTCTAGAAAGAGAAAGAGAGCAGGGAGCAGGGAGTGGAGTGAGAAGACTTAGCCATGACTTCTTGTTTGATTGACAGTTTCCCTCTCGGACTAAATGAGTCTTTCTCTGCTGGGTGAGGGATCAGGAAAATCCTCAGTGGGATGTGAGGATGCTTTTTCTGTCACTCATGTACACAGAACAGTTTCTAAATGCTGCAAAATGAGTTTAATCAGGGGAGAAATAATTAAAGATGTGTTTATATTTACAGAGATGACATTGAATTTTTGAAGTCACCTTGGAAATCCACCAGATCTGTGTTTGGTCCATCTACGTTCTGCTGCAGCATCAGAGCTGATAGGTTTTTACTTAAGTCAGTGTTTAAAATGGTAAACCGTAAATGGACTGTGTTTATAGATCACCTCCTCTAGTCTCCTGACATCTCTAAGTGCTTTTACGTCACAGGTCACACACATTTACACACTGATGGCAGAGCCTGCTATGTATAGCGCCCATCAGTTTTTTGACTAATTGAACACATACACCTTTGGGCCCAGCCAGTGGGACTGGTTGGGGTCAAGTGTCTTGTCCAAGGACACCTCAGCAGATGGACAGTGGGACCTGGGATTGAACCCCTCTGATTCAGGGACAACTGCCTCTAGCACTGAGCCACAGCCGACCCCTCTGTGTTGTGTCTCTGCTCCGTCTCAGCTGGAGCAGAAGGCTTGGTATCCACAGGTTAGAGGTTTTCAGAGCTCACTGTGGAGGCAGAAAGGTATTGATTCTGGATTAAACCATGACTCCAGCTGTTAGGAGCATGGAGCTGAACTGGAATAGATCGGAGATGGACCGAACACAGATCTGGAGGAAGTCCAGTTTAACAGACTTAGTTCAAACAGATGCTGAATCTCTGTTTACACGTGTGATACAGACTTGATGAATTAATGCAGACATTTGTATTTCTATCTCTGTAATGAGGCGCTCACACCAAGCATGAGTAAAATCGCTTAATTTGCGCGACTCTATACATGTGAATACTTAGTATTTACCCGTTTCATTTGTCAACGGTAATTTCAACGGTAATCCCTGCCTATTCAACCAGCAGGATCAAGTGATAGGCAAAGGTTTTTTTTTTTTTTTAACCAGGTAATCCAACCTCCTCACTCGGTTGTCTCCAGGCGAGCTCCTTTTTATTCAGGTTTCGCTAATTGAAAGAGAAGGTATCATATAATTTGGGGGACACCCACACACCGACACCATCAATTTGTCCTCCATTTTAGATACCAGTGAACAACCGTCTGTTTTCATACATCACCTGGCAGCCTTCGTGCTGATCAGTTATTGCGACACGAATATCTGCTGAAGTTGAGACATTTTCAGCTCCAGCCCAATTCGCGTCATTTGCGCTGTCAGAGTTGTACGAGTATCTAATCATGTCTTTACATTGACTTAACCTAATTCATTCACACATGATTTTACCTGCGCCTGGTGTGTGGAGACAGAAAGGGGGAGGAGACAAAGTTTGGGTTCATTCAGGAAAACCTGCTCCTAACCAGGTTACATTCACAGCCATAGTTACCATAGTAACCTGCTCTAAGTTTAAGTTGCCTCACTTCCTGGAATAGGCTTGAGTTACCCCTCTGTCTCAGATTTCAGTTACTTAACTCTTGGACCCAGAATTTCTCTCATTTCAGAGTTAACAAACTCAGTTTGTACTAAAGCTGCTTTCTGAAATGGACACGAGGAGAGACCAGAAGTTAGCTGTCTTACTCAAACATGCTAAAGCTAAAGTCGGCCCATGCCTCAATGGGGCTCTAAGCAAAATTTAGTTTTGGGGCCCTCTATTTCTGCCAATAATATTGATTGTTGAACATTCACACACCTGCTACAGTATAAATTTAATGTACCTGACATGTCTTTACACATTTAAGGGGGTGACCTAGGTAAAAGCATAAATAATAACAATGCAATTATATAAACAATACCAATGAATAACTGATGAATGATGACCACATATGGTTTTTAATCTCAAAATGTAACACATTCAGGATGCTCAGTGCACATTGCACAGCAGGAGGCACATAAGGGTAGCGGAGCTTTGAAATATCGGCAGTAAGAATCATAGGCCTACATCAGCAGCAGCACGAAAAAGTTTTACTTTATTTTATTTTTACAATAATATATATTTAATCATACAGAAAGAATCACTCATACATGCAAAGAAATAAAAATTTGATTGCTCTTGGGGGGCCCCTATTGGTCGCGAGGCCCTAAGTAGGCGCTTAGTTCGCTTATGCCTTGGATCGGGCTCTGAGCATGTGCATCTTTATTCTTTATTGTTGTTGCTGCACAGGTAGTCACTGACACCTGACTGAAGAAAAGGCAGCTGATATTGATGCATATAGGGGCCTGCTCTGTTTTTACAGAGAGGAATAATACATGTGAATCCAGCAGGAGAAATGCATATTACTGCGGCTATTTCTCAAAGTCACCTACCAGCAGCCTAAAGAGAGACAAGGAAAGGCTGTCAGCATGTTTATGTTTCACTTTCTCTCTCTGTGATATTCCTCTTCGGCTGAATAGGCATTAGAAAGTGACAGACAGTCGATCATATAGAGGGGAGAAATCGCCCTCTGTGTGTACTTTTCCTGTCATGGCTTTTCTCGACATCAGCTGCAAGTAAAAAAAAGAAGAAAAAAAACTGCTGGAAATAATGACTGAGTTTGAAAAGTTGATAATGGCGATCTAAAAGGATGTCAAACCATTAAAGGGGCTGTGAAGCGCGTGCAGCCTTGATGGGCTAAATGCCACACATTCAGTGGTTTCATGACTAATGGTTCAACATGGAGGCTTTTAACATTCTTCTTGTGCAAGCGTTTGTCAGAAATACTTCACATGGACAAACATGTGTGTGGTTAGAGCAGACTGGTCCTATTGTCAACTGAGACAAGGGTACGGTCTGAGGTTTAAAAGCAATAATCAACCAATGTTCTTGGTTAATTTCTGCCATCTATTTTGATGAATCCAGGGCTCCAGCACACCCTGAAATAGATTTGATCAAATTCAAGGCTTTAAAATATTTTTAAAAGCCTTAAAAAGGGTCTAATATTTTAGGTGCACTTTTACTGAATTGTGTGAGCTCTTGATTAAATCACTCCCTAGTTGATATAACATGAAATTTCATGATCCTATTTTATGGACTTTCTTGTTCATCTAGCGATCGTTTGCATTTATTATGAACTTTTATACATGGTTCTTTGGTTACGACATTCTACTCCTAGTGCTTTTATTTTGAAAGGACAATCAGTACGGTTTACCAGGCAGCATGCCTGGACTCCTCATGGTTAAATGCCTTTTTTCACTCTGGCAAAAATAAACTACAGGAAGAAAATAACCAATAATATGCATTTGTCAGGGGGAATTCACAGGCTACTTAGCAGTATATAAACAGACAGACATAATAATGCATCAGATTTCATATAGCACTTTATCAGAGACCCTCAAAGCACTTTACATTGGATACATCATTCGCTCATACAGTCACACCTTGGTGGTGATAAACTACTTCTTTTTTTTATTTATTTTTTTATTTAACAACAAAACAGAGTGACGACAACAACAGAAACAACAACAACAACAAAAAGATTAAAAATTAAAAATTTACAAAAATACTTTGTGAGGGAGCGAAGGGGGAAAGAATTTATATAATATGTAATAGAGAATTTAAAAAGAAAAGAAAAAAAAATCTTGATTGGATTACATTGGAATATCTATATAATAATAACTATATCTATACATATACATACACATACAAACATACGTGCACACATACATACACACATATACATATATATACACATATACACACACACACACAATCCCCCCGAATCACCGACACAACAGCGACGATACAACAACCACAATAGCATTAGCAATAACAACACCAGAAATACCGGCGACAGCAATGACAGCAAACGAATGACCGCAACGATGCTAACAATAATGACAGTCATAGTAATGAAGATACGGAACAACAAAAATCACCACAATCCACAACACTATGGCCCGGGCCAGAGGCTGGCCCGGCCCCCTGCACCTCCCAAAAAGCAGGCCGAAAACTACTGGTAAACTACTTTTGTCGTCACAGCTGCCCTGACAGAAATGTGGCTGCCAGTTTGCACCTACAGCCTCTCTAACCACCACCACACAACACTCACATTCATACATCGTTGAAGGACACACACTGGGAGCAAGGTGGGTTTAGTGTCTTGCCCAAGGACACAACGAACAGACTCAGGATAGGTCGGAATAGAACTGCCAACCTTCCGGTTATTGGACGACCAATAACCGCACTACCTATTGGACTACCTCCTTGCCTACTGCCGCCACACAGTGATTCCAGCCTTAGTGATACTGCAACCAGGGGTCCGTTTCACGTAGCAGGTTTAATGGAAACTCAGAGTCTGTTAACCCTGAAATCAGGGAAACTCTGAGTTTTCCGTTTCACAAAGGAGGGTTAGTTAAACCAGGGAGAGAGGGGTAACTCTAACCTGTTTCACAAAGAGAGGTAACTCAACCTCGCGGTCAGTTACCACAGTAACAGACTCCGTGAACCTAACCTGCTCGGGAGCAGGTTTAACTCAGTAAACCCAGAGTTTCAGGTGAGACATCGGCATTTTCTCATTTTGATCATGTTTTACATTGTCAAGTAAGTATTAAGTGGCAGTTTGATCCCTTAAAAAATGCTCTTTTCACACTCAAAACTGAATTTTACTCTCTTATGTTCCGTTAAATGATTAGGAATATTAAACTAACACAAAAACGGGTGGTGGCCCAGCAGCCCCACCTTTAAGGGAGGCAGAGGAGCTGCCCCCCCCCCCCTTCGACGATCGCGGCCGGTCTGATTGCAAATCCCCCCCCCCCCCCCCCGCCTCCTCTGCCTCCGTTAAAGGTGGGGCTGCTGGGCCACCACCCGTTTTTCTGGCCTCTTTCTGTTTGCTGAGTGAAAGTCTAATATTGAGTGTAGTGTGTGTTAGTTTAATATATGTACATATACATACTGAGAGTTAGTTTAATATTCCTAATCATTTAACGGAACATCATAAGAGAGTAAAATTCATTTTTGAGTGTGAAAAGAGCATTTTCTAAGGGATCAAACTGCCACTTAATACTTACTTGACAATGTAAAACGTGATCAAAATGATTCAAGCAGTTTCCCTGCAACAGTCTGTCATTGTGATTGCACGAGACTAGATTTAAAGTTACGCATTGACGCGAGCAGCGATCTCCTCCCAAGCCCTCTCCCTCTCCTTTGCAGCTGCTGCTGTATTGCACTTTCTTCTAAAAACGTGCTGTAATTCGCTGTTGGCTTGCTGCTGCCCCCTCCTTCTCCCTGTTTCCATTGGTTGATCATTGAATCTGCGCTCCACAGATGCTGGCTGATTATGTCTGGCGTGCACGTGCTTAACTCCAGGTCAAACTACTCGGAGTTGTTAAAACCGTCTCAAATCAGGTGTTGTGAAACCGGAAACTCTGAGTTTCCTAACTCAGAGTAGATCAACTCAGAGTTAAGGATTTAACTCAGAGTTTGTTGAACCACCTACGTGAAACGGACCCCAGGTCTTTTTGTTATTTTCCTGAAAAAAGCTTTTTTTATTCAGTCACTTTTTTATTAGTATTATTATTATTATAATTAGTTTTTCTTTACCCCAAACCAATTTTTCTTTTTTTTGAAGGTGATGTTTGAACACATCATGATAATACATAGTTGACTTGCCTGCTTTCATCCTGCCGATTTCAGCATTGGATCTTGATTTTTTACAACAACACTGGTTATGAAGTCTAGGTGTGCCATTGATTGAATTAACACAAATAATTCAACTCTAAGTATTATGTCACTTTATAGGACTCGCCAGACTTGATAAGCTCAAACATTATTTTTGAGTTTTGGGATTGGGACCCTGGCTTTGATCCTCATCCCTTCTTGCAAGTACATGAAAGAGCTTTAAAACGAATAAGATTAAGCTGCAATAGCTGCAGCAACAGAAAACACAATTGAATATACACATGAACCCCAACAGCACAAATGCCAACAGCCTTAGCAGAAGTTGATTTGGACCAAGTTCTGCCAGTATTTCCAACGACACATTACTCCCATCAGATATGGGGATGAAACTAAATGAAACTGCCCATTTAAGCCAATCACATCATGACTGTCATTGCGGTAAACATCAGAGAGTCAAAGATGTTTGACTCTGACAGAATAACTGTCTGCTGTAAACCATGAAGATAATTTCCCTGTGTTAGTTTTGGTTGTGTATTTGCATTTGTGATTCTCATTAATGCTGTGGTGTTTTCCCCCCTCATGCAGAGCTGTTTGGATCTGCCTTCCTGCCTCTGCAGTTTTTCACACCAGACAGAGAAACCATTTGAGGAGATGCTGCGGAAATACTCAAAACTCTCAGAAAAGTACGAATCACAAAAAGCATCACAAAGTGAAGAAGCTGAGGTAAACTGACAGGATCTGACCTGACAGCACCGGCTTCAACTCGCACACACGCACACGCGTGCACACACACACACACACACTGGAAAGTGAAAACACAGCATGTATGTTTGTCCAATCCAAAAATCGATGGCTGAGGAGGAAAAAGTTAATTGTGTGCTGGTTGGTTTTGTTTTTCTGGGTAATTGGGGGGAAGAAAATCAATGGCTTCCTGTTCATTTTCTGTGGAAGGTTCATACAAGTTTAATCCAAGGATGCAAACAATGAACCCGACAAGTGTAGACTATAAGGACAGACAGTTTGGGTTTGTCGCAATAGGCAATAAAGGTATTATTGTTTATAACCCGCATTATGCTAATTACCCCACTGTGTTAAATACTTGATTCAAAACCCTTTAATGACAGATTCTGCAAAACAAGACCAGGGATGCTCCTGTTCCTTTAGTCGTTAAGAAGAAAATTGTGTCTACTCATGAAGACTTTCATTACTTAAAAAGTTGTCTGTCCACCTACATCCAAAAACAAGGATGTAAAAGTTCTTTGCCAGCTTTAACTTCAAGAAATCATCCTCCACTGGATTCCTGGTGGTAGGACTGCAATAATGTTGATAAAATCACCAAAAATAAAAATCCCAGTTTCAGGAAATAAATATATTGAATGCATTATTTCTGTTTCTTAGCCTCAGCCGTTACAGCAAAAAATCGCTCAGGAAATGAGATAAGCAGGATTAGCTGTTAACACAATTCGGCACCAAAATATCAGCAACAAACAAAAATCAGCTTGTTAAGTGCCAGGAAATTTAAATCATGCGGATAACCCAGAGGAAAATGCATACAAACAATGCTTGCCCGAGCTTTGACATCGTGCCTGCAGGAGGCTGAAAACAGTGGTGGTGGCATAATGAGCTAGGAGCAAGCGAGCTAGTTACGAAAAGCATCCTCTGCCTCCTTGTATGACAAATAAAGACAAATCATGTATGGATCATTGGCAACTTGAGGCAACTTTTCCTCTCCTCAGACTCTTGACATTTCTTGTATTTGCTTGCACTCCTGTGTCTCCCTTTCTACATGTTTTTAACCATTTAAACCAGTGATGAGCTTTGCACATGTACATGAGAAGCAGAAGGGCTCCAAAGTCTCTCCTCTGTGAGAGCTTAGCGATGGCTTCACTCCTCGTAAACATCATCTCCATGCTCATCGCTGCATCACTCACTTTGATTTACAAGTTTAGATTCAGTGTTTTGCGCGCAAAGACATTTCCTCTGCCTTTGGTTCGTCTGAATTTCAAACAAGTCCTCTGGGGACAAAACCCAATCTGGAAATCAAAAGTACTTTATACTTCCAACATGTGCATTTATTCATTATGATCTCCTTTGCCACGGCGTGTTATACCTCAGTGTCTTAACTTCTTGGCGATACATAAAGAGCTCATGAAAGGCACCCTGTGGAGGCTTCATCGCTAAATCAGGACAAGAGCCGACATCTGAAGAAAACACAGTAACCTAATCAAGCGTAAATATGTCATAGCGAAGCACATTCCCCCCTCTCAGAATGGCTGCCAGATACGAGGAGGGTGGAAGCGTCCTCTCGCCCTCACTTGCAACCGACAGAGCACATCCTCTGACTGCTGTGAGAGGAGCTTTGAGGGCACAAACTGGATAAATCCTGTCTCTGTGCTCCCTGTCGCTTCGGGCCAGTGGAGGGATTTTCTCGGGGGAGTGTTCGTGGCTCGGCCACAATGCTTTGTGGGGGTGCTGGTGAGTCACGGCTATGTGGAAGCGGCGATAGAGACGGTGAACAGCTTTCTTAATGTCACTTGTAATACCCAGGCAGACGTGTAAGGCCTAATCAAAGATGGCACTTCCCAAAGCACCAAAGGAAAAAAGGACTCCTGGCTCATCTTTTCATCATTATATATTTTACATTATACATATGGCACCGCTGATGTGCCCACAACACAGATTAACAGCCCTCAGATGGTCTTCTTTTTCTCACTTTTGTTCTACTTGACTGTGACACATCTTTTAAAATGCGCTTTCTTTGAGAAGTATAGAAATTTTAAAAAATCAAAGGCTCACCTAAGAGAGCAAAAGGACTCCTCCAATGTGGGTTGAAGCCTGAGGACGTAACCTCCTGCCCTTGTGAGTATGAGAGTGAAAACCTAACCAAGCATGAACAGGCTGTCCTGTTCGCTCACACGCTGACACACTGCTGATTCATAAACAGCCATGTTTTTGCTTTTCCTCTCCAGGTTTGAATGCTCGACACGCCTACAAGCCGTTTAAAGATACCTTTTTTTCCTTACACTTTCTGACAGGGAGCAGCAGAAAGACGAGGGATAAAACAAAGTGTGAAAGGGTGTTTTTTCTAAAGGTGATGGTCTGCTCCATCTCTGTCTCCAGACATGATCCAAAAGTAGCGTATGACTTTTTTTTTTTCTTTGGCTTTCTGTCCATTTCTGAGGAAAACACATTTATACAGAGAGAAACGGCAAATTGGATTTTGAAGGAGGTAAAGTTGAGGCCCTTTCTGCGTGTGTCTGATAGTCACATAGGAAACTGAGTGAAATTTGAAATGTACAGGCCGCAGTAAAAACTCCCATAAAAGCAGCTTACAGAGTACAGCAAGGTCATGACGACATTTAAGAAAATGTGAAAATCTTAAATTACAGCAAAGATAGGGGGTCAAACTGTAGGTTATTCAACTAGCTGGGACAGCTGGGACAAACCAAGACTGTCATGACTGGCCAAAAAAGAGGATGCTTTGTTTCACTCAAGCATATTACCTCTCCTGTAGCCAGAGTGAGACTGACTTATTTATCGTCTCAGTTGTAGTTCACTGAAGTTCCCTTAAGTAATTTGAACATAGACAAATACATGATGTCCAGTTTTCTCTGTTTTCTCTTTTCCTCTGTACTGATTAGTTTATCTCTGTGACGAGGGGCGTTTGAGTGACTTAAGCATAGACTGTATATACTATGGATGTCATTATACAAATTTGAAGCTGAATTGCTCTCAGTATTTCCGTGATTTCTCCACTTCCTAGAAACACCACTTGCATAATAGTGTTGTGCGCATACAACAGGAGAGTCGCCAAGAGTCGCTGTGATGACGCGCGGCTCAAACAGGTGAGCCCCAGGTGAGCTACACAACCTCCGTACACCCAAAGGCTGTATCAAGTGTCAATCATAGAAAACGTGAACGTTCTAATAACTTTTCAAAATGGAGCTGCACAGAAAAAAAGAGGACTTGAGCACAAACCAGTTTTACTGTAACTACATCTCAACATCGCAACCAGGGGGGAGAAAAACTGCAATAAATTTCTAAAGTTTGTCCACAGCTCCATAGGGTTTGCTGGAGGAGGCAGGATTTACAACCTATACTGCAGCCCATCAACAGAGGGTGCTGTTTTTAGGGTGGCTTCACCCACTGAGGAGGCAGATGGTGTCCATTCTATATGCAGTCTATGGTCAGTAGGAAAATCAGGTACTTCACTGCACCA